AAAAAAAAGAATGATATGAAAATGCCTATCTTCAAATTTTACGTTTCTTTTTTTTTTTTTTTTTGTGTGTGTGGAACCAGGGATTGAACTCAGGCCCTTGCACTTGCCAGAGAAGCGCTTATTCCACTGAGCCATCTCCCCAGCCAAAAATTTTTACGTATCTAAAGTTTATTCCTTTAGAAAATTAAGTCTCTAGGTGGCCTTTTTATGTTGTTAACCTTTATCTCCAATAATCTCCCTTCTACTTTTCAAAAAAGAATATTCTCTATGTTAGTGTCTATAGAAAAGGGATATCTAAAAAATTCTTGGCACGGGGAGATGGCTCAGTAGAATAAGCGCTTCTCTGGCAAGCACAAGGGACTGAGTTCAATCCCCAGTTCTGCCAAAAAAATAAAAAATAAAAAAAAAATTCTTTCAAAACAAACTTTCTTTTTTAATTAATTTTTTAAATGTATTTAGTACAGGGTCTACAGGATCTCACTACACAGATCGGACTTGTAGTGATCCTCCTGTTTTCAGCCTCCCCAGCGCTGCGATTAAAGGCGCATGCCATCACACCCAGTCTTAGTCACAGTCTCACCGCGCCCTAGGGGAGGGGACTGAACCCCAGTCCCTGTGTCTACCTAAGCAGGCACTTTAGTCTGCTGAGCTATTTGGCCAGCCCTAAAACAAACTTAGTTAGAACCTCAATACATACAGTACAAAATAGAGCTGCTGACTGCAGTCACTTTGTTGGGGTGACCTGCCCCTGCAAAGTACTCCCAGAAGCCCCCGGGGCACCATAATACAGTTCGAAAACTGCTCTAAAACTGTCTCCTTCCACACTTATGACATGTCAATCATGTGCTAGTAGAACTTGAAAAAAGCTCATCTTAGGCCATATGAAGAGCCTGTGTTTCATTCTGCTTGTCAAGGTTAGTATTTCATAGACCTGCATGATCTTCCCACTGGAATGGAAGCGGCTCTGAGAGAGGGCCCATCTGGCTCTGCACCAAGGGCCTGCAGCCACACTTTCCATACAGCATACATGGAACAGACAGCGCCTGGATTTAATCTTGCTAGGCCACCCAAAGATGATACACCTACACCAAGCTTCTGCTTAGAGGTAGCTGGACAGATAGAAACACAAGTGGGTTTTTAAAAAGTTAATGAATAGCAGGACTCTAGAGACTACTCTCCATCAGGAAGTCCGACCACCACTCCTAGCTCCAGCACAGCCTTGCAGCTCACAGGAGAACCCCAGGCGGAAGGAGCGCAGCCTCCAGCCACGCACATTGCACAAGCCCATGCGGGGTCTGACCCCACCACCAGGAGGACAGGCCCCAAGACTCGGGTGCTTTGAGATATCCTGCCAGCCTAATAGATACACCCAGATGATGCCAGGTCCCAAAGTGAAAGGAAGTGTTAAAGATGCAGCTTTTGATGTGACTGGATGCACCTTAGGGAGTGGGCATAAAGGATTCCTTACAAACTCGCCCAGCTAGCTGACCGGTGAAGTCACTACTCTCCAGCCATACCTATGTATCCACACCCCCGCCTCCATCACATAGCGGGCAGCAGCAGTGGCAACTTACTTTCAGGAGAGCCTTGGCTTTCTAGCCTTAGTTTATTCAGGCGTTCTTCTTCCTAGAATTTAAACAAATTGTCCATTAGAATCCCCATGCCTGCAAAAGCCCATGTGCTGGCAATGGGCCGACCCCCTTGAAGCCAAGCCCTCCCATGTCCAGTGCTCCTCCCGGGGAGAACATCCCGGCTCGGGGTACTAAAGAGCCCCACTCTTCCTCAATGGACGCTCATCCCAGATGCACAGGATAAAACCACTCAGCTGGCTTCCAAACTGCCCACTTCCAAGTAGGCAATCTTGTGATCTTAGAGTCAGCAAATCCACCACAAAATTTGTCACAGTCACAGAAACAAGAGAAATTTAAGGCAGGAAGCAGATTGCTGTTTTATTTTTTAAGACTTCTACATGTTTTTAGTATGTATCCAGAAGCTAAGATTATATCTCCAACCTAAGAATGAACTCATAGTTCAAGATGGATACAGATGGGTACATATGGAAATATTGTAAATATACACAACACTATTGAATTAAAAAAAGAGCTCCTTGGTAAAATGGCTATCTTAGGGACAGAGCAAAAAACACTTGAGATATGCCCAGAGCAGTTTATATATGGCAGTGTCAGAAAGGAAGAGCTTTAAAAAATAAAAAAAGAGCAGGCTGGCTAAAAAGCTCAGCGGATTAAAGTTTCTGTTTAGGCAGATGCAGGGGGGCCAGGAGTTCGATCCCCAGGGCCTGCCATGCCGGTCCTGCCCCCGGCGCTTGCTGAGCCTGCAACTGAGACTGGGCATGATGGTGTGTGCCTGTAATCCCGGCACTTGGGAGACTGTAAACAGGAGGATCACTACAAGTGCAATCTATGCAGTGAGACCCTATAGACCCTGTCCTAAAATTTTTAAAAAATTTTAAAAAGAGGGTTAGGCATGGTCGCACATGCCTCTAATCCCAGCAAACGGGAGGCTGAGACAAGACCAGCTTGAACTACACAGCAAGACCCTGTGTCAATCAATCAATGCCCTACAATAATGGAGCTTTTTCTAAGAAGACCAAGAACCAAGTGAAAGGGATCTCAATGGACAAAAATTAAAAAAAAAAAAAAAAAAATGGACAAAACTGTAACAATCTGACCAAGAAAGATTATACTTCAGAGTACAAAATAAATATTCATGACCTCAGTAAACAAGTGCGCAAACATATGGAGTAGACAAATCTCTCATGCAGAATAATTCCAAATAAATGATTTAGCTCTCTGCAGTGAAGGACAGAAGCCTAACTCTCAGCTCCTTCAGTGTGAGCTATGCAGAGTGCCTTCCTTTCAAAGAGTACAGTAAGGAAAGGGGGAGGTGAAAGCTTAACAAACATTACTTTGGTCAGTTAATCCAAGCTTTTTTTCTTTTTTGGTGTTGGGAATCAAACTCATGACAGCCCAGCTAATCCAAGCTTCATGTCCACAGTGGTATGGCATCTAAACTGTATGCACCTTGACAGGAAGTGGTAAGAATGGCACTTCACCTCTGTGGTCTTCCTCCACAAAACCTGTTACCCTTAAGAATCAGGTCGGGGCTAGGGAGATGGCTCAGTGGGGCCCAAGAGATGGCTCAGTGGAATAAGTGCTTCCCTGGCAAGCGCAAGGGTCTGAGTTCAATCCCCAATTCCATAAAAAAAAAAAAAAAAAAAATCAGGAAAATCCCCAATTAAGACAAAGTACCCTTCAGTGCTTCTCTAAAATTATGTTGTAGGGTCTTTAAACAAATGTGTCATTCTGTCCCAATTCTATCCTAAAGTTAGTGGTGCCTAAAGCGGCCCAAGTAACTTGGGGTCCTCAAGATTTTTGTCTCCAGTGGCTGCGTCTTAGGGTCCTTACTAACCTTGGCTCTGAGCTCCATTTCTGCATCAGATTCATCCAGCCAGCGATCAAAGTCAGGGGCCAAGAAGAGCGGGCGTTTTTCCTGCTTGGTAAGTCGTTCCCACCAGTGACTCACCTTCTTCTGAACCGTAATGTTTACCTGCCTCTGGGTGAGTTTGTAAACCGGCTAGGAGAGAAAGTGAGAATGTGAGAAGCCTCCTGCATTCCCTACAAGTCCCCCTGCAGTGGCTCCTCAGAGAAGCTACACAGCAAGCTCCCTCCATTCCTTCTCTGGCCCTGCAAGCCTGATGCAGACATAATAGCTAGAGCAAGGGCTGGCATGGAGAAGAACCAGTAAAAACAGCGGGGTCTTTCTCTGATGTTCTTCCCTCTCTTTGTTTCTCTCCAGGCCCCTCCCTGTCTCCCAGCCAAGCCGCATGACAGGTTCTCTAGGCCTTTTGGTGGCAGTGATTGTTAGTGCTCTCAAAATAAGGAACCCTGCAGGAGGTCAATAAACTCAAGCTCCCAGAGCTAGGAAACAACTGCACCATCTGTGATTTCCCTCCCTTCATGGTAAAGAAGATTCTTCAGGTTCTTTTTTTCCCCCCATAATTTTGAGATCCTCAGGTTCTAAGAGATGAGAAACTTCAATTGCACTCCCGTCACTCTTCCTAAAGCCCAGCTGCCTTAGCCCTGTCTGCTGCCTGTTCTTCTCACTGCCCCTGTAACTAAACCACATGAACACAACCCTGGTGTGGCTTCAAGCACCCTAGCAATTCTGTTCTCAGTGGGAGCCATACTCCTCAGTCATCACAGAGAATGGAGCTACAAGGGACCCTAGGGGTCACTTCATTTAACAGAGAAGAAAGCAGAACTCAAAGCACTTTGCTTGCATTCATGTTGCTAACAGGTGAAACCTACATTCATCTCAGGTTCTCTGACATTCCCCTTCCTCTGCAGCTTGTAGCTAAAACTGGGGCCCTGTTGCCTATGAAAAACTGTATTATTTCCCTTTGTTTTTATCTTCTGTCCCATGACCTCAGCTCCTCATTTCAGTAGCGGCTAGTATTTGTTCCCTAAAATGGAAAAGGAGTGAGAAGGAAAAGAACATACCTCTGGCTTTACAAAGTCTAAGAACTCCAAGTGAAATTCATACACATTGTCTCCTTTGGCACCATGTCCCTGAGCTATAAAGAAAGAAATGTTGGTTACCATGAACTTGAGCAGAGCAAGGCCACCCAAAGGGCAGCCTGGCAGAAGTCTCTGGGAAGTATGCAAGTAGCAGTGGTCCCTGTTAAAATGCGAGGGAACTTGGGAGCAGAGCTAGATGCGCCAAATCCTGGGCTGACAGTTCATCTCCGTGTATCCTCGGACGCTAAGTTTCAGACTGTTTATTTAATCTTCCACTGCTGCCTGGATGATATCCAGTATAATTAATGGGAAAAAA